CGCGCGGCTCGGCCGAGCAAGTACCTGGCGCGTCGTCCGCCGGCGCCGCGCCCGCCGCTGCGTCGGGCGCTGGGCCCGCGCTCGTGCGCGGCTTCAGGAAGTCGTTGAGCGACGGCTGGATGCTGAGCTCGTACTCCGTGAAATTGAACAGCGGCGGCAGCGGGCGGCCGTTGGGCAGGCGTGCGGCGGGCTCGCGCAGCTCGTCGAAGAAGCTGTGCGCGCAGGCCTGCAGCGGCGACAGGCGCGCGCCCGGCGTGTACTCCAGCAGCCGCGACACCAGCGAGATCGCGTCCGGCGGCGTGCACGCGCGGAACACCTGCACACACAACCTCACTGTACTACCGCACTGCGGACGCTCCACCCCACGCAAACAAATCATTATGTTAGCGACTGAAAGTATTCTTGTCTTTTCAGTATTACACACTCAAAATATAACGCTAAATATTTACAATGTTAATTGTTAGGAAACAATGATCGGACTTTTATGACAATAACTGTGATTTAGTGGAAGTGTGGTCTTCAGAAAACTTAAAACACATTTTAACAAACCAGTATCCTCTAAAGAACTGAAACACTACTGACTTTACACTACATCAATTTTATCTGTTTGCTTCATTTGATGATGACAGTTTATTATTTTCAAAATCATAATTGAATTGAATTTCAAACATTCTAACTTTGGTTAGAGGATAATGATATCTTAAATTTTATTAAAGTTTTCGGAAGAATCTCTGGGAACCTAATTATAAATAACAGAAGTAAATGATAAGTGCCACGCTGCAAGTTCGTTCCTGTAAGAAAATGTTTGTTTTAATAAGAAAAAAGAAGCTTATAAAATAATAAATAGTTTTAGAACGTGAATGTGAGAAACAAACTGGCACAGAGTCGCACAATACGAATGCACACTGAACACCAACAAACAAATTGCAGTAAGAGACAGCTTCTGATTAGTTTTATGTGGCATTCTGTTCAACTCATGCCGCGGCTATTTTCAAGTTCTAAATCTACTCTAAATGTCTTCATTTTTGTAACCTGATTTGGAGGATTGTAGATATCATTTGACTGTAAAGACATAAGCATTGTTGTAGTACGATTAATATAATGAAGGCATCTAGATAGCCCGCAGAGCGATATCTTACTCGGATGCGCTGGTGGTCAGTGGCAGACTTGGGCGTGGACATACGCTCCAACATGAACTGCAATGACGCGCGCTTTTTAGTCTCCTATGTCATGCTTGTAAAACACAATATTGTTAACTGTAAATAACCAGTAGTGACATCCTCTGATATGATTTCGATACTTGTAAGGTGTAAATGTTCGATAATGATCATCACGCAATATGAATTTGGCAATTATGTTGAAAATTGTTGGAAAGAAATTGATTCAAAAATTTACCGAACTACATAGTTGCTACACAGTCATAGCTCATTTGTGCAATGCTTGATTTGGTATATAAACCTATAATTGTATTAATTTTATATTTTCGGAATTGTAGTCAACCAATTTGCACAAGCGAGTTTGGACTTCGTTTTTACAAAATGAAGGTCTGTCAACTGAATTAATTGACCAGCGTCTCAGAATTCGACAACCATAATAAATAATTTATGTAATATGTAAAACACATCAATATTTTTAAAGAAACAAGTAACTGAATTGAGGTAATCCTTAATTTAGGGTTCCGTAGTATATTCCCGCAGTACACGCCCCGACGCGCGACCTGAAGTTAAATTTTGCTGAAATTAAGAAACAACTATAGTGTTCTTGCATTGGAAGATTATAAAATATAAAATAACCAAAAATGAAAAATAAGTAATCAAAAACCCCAGATAATTTGGAAAATAGACAAAATGTTACATTATAATAATAAATAAAGATTTATTTGCCCGGTTCCGACTTCCGAATGGCTACGGAACCCTTACTCACGCAGCATCACGATACGACAATTGCATATCCACATAATGTGTAAAACAAGAAATTAAATAGTTAACAGGACATTTTAATTAAGACGGAAAATAATTGGTTCTAACTTTTAAGCAATTTTGGTCTGTTAAAATTTTAATGTCTATTCATTCATAAAATTGATTTCCTAAAATCAGTGTGTTGCCATAATGGGTATGTTGCTCGATACGTAACGCCTAAAATTTTGAGAGTTTTCAAGATTCTGACTTTCAAAAATGTATAAATTCTATCTTTGAGCTATCATTTATTACATATTATGCTCGATACATTATTCCGATGGCTATTACAGGCGCTATAAGAAATCTTAGATGAAAGTATACAAAGGCATATTATATGAGTTATTAGTAGTACACAAAACTTTACCTTAGCCCATGGGTGGCTCTTGATTTGTGGGAATTTGAATTCTGTATAATTAGGATTCATCTCTCGAATTTGTTCTCGTGTCGGTGTACCTAGTACCTGTAAGAATAAAATTGATGTATTAGAAAGGTATATTTTAAAGTAGGTACATAATTATAATAATTTAGTAAGTAATCGTAAAATATTTACCTTGATAATCTCAACCAACTGATCAACACCAGAATCACCTGGGAATATTGGTTGACCCAATAATAATTCCGCTACTACACATCCAGCGCTCCATACGTCTGTGGAAATTACGATTGATAAATTAGAAATATGCTAACACCTATGCTATTGCTATCCTTGTCGTAACACTCCATATTCTTCCTCTAGATGCCGTAAAAGCCGTAGCATGCTTTTTACATTAGAGAATTACCACATCGGACACAGACTGTGCAGTAGCGTTCTCTGATAAACCTGAACTGCCAAGCAGAAATTATGGTAAACCTTCCTATGTAGTGGTCATTAGTCCAGCAGTGGACTTGCATGAAATAATACTTAACAACAGTAACAACCCCCGGATAAGGTAAGAAAGGGATGTGGTATACAATTGGCACAAGTATCTTAAAGATTTTTGTCATTAAATTAGCTTACAATAGTAGGTTAGGTAGATGTTAGAGGTTGCGCAGGAATGCCATGTAGCATATCATTTACTAGAAACAGCCAGATATTCTTTAGGAGAAATGTAGGTTAATTACATCTTAATGTTCAAGAAAATATCAAAATGACGAGTTTGAAGGCTTTGAAGAAGGCTGAGTTCAGTTCATTGTAATGTATCAGGAGACAAATCTGTCTGAAAGGTGAAGTCATATGTCATACTCATACATTGTTGTTGCAGAGGTTGGTAGAGAGCAATGATCGCAATCAGTCGCAATGACAATTGTACAAAGGATTCCTGTATCGATAGCATCGGAAGGCATGTTTTACAAATCTGGGGCCAGATAACATTTAATCCATTCTTACAATACAACACTGGTAGCGTGTTTACTGTTGATCTATATCAGACATTTACGTTTGTTAGTCACTTTGGTTGTTACTGCGCAGTTCTGCTGCGAGAACTTCGTGTTTCACATGAAATTACTATCACAAGACTAACATGTACAAACAAAATGTAACACATTAAAGAATTAATGAAACACAATAATTACCGATTTTGGTGGTGTAATCTATAGCGCCAAAAATGAGTTCTGGAGCGCGATAGTATCGGGAACAAATATAGGACACGTTAGGCTCGCCACGAACGAGATGTTTCGCCGAGCCAAAATCGCAAAGTTTGAGTACGCCGGTCTTAGGATCAAGAAGTAAGTTCTGTGGCTTGATGTCTCGGTGACAGATGCCCAGCGAGTGAATGTACGCGAGGCTTCTGAACAACTGGTACATATATAGCTGAAAACGTTCATATATTAGTCTCACATATTCATCAAAACATACAATTTGTTATGTCCGCGTGTGATTCCACTTACCTTTATAAAACTAATGGGTATGGTTTGTTCATCTTTGGAGTAGTGACGTGCCACTTTATACACAGTCTCAGGTATATACTCCAGCACCAAATTCAGGTACACTTCGTCTTTCTGTAATGAAAAATTAATTTATAAGCAAAATATTTTTTATGCCATAATCATTAAACATCAACTTGTACTTGATAACAATGAGATATTTAAGTTGTAAAATTCGTTACATTGCTTCGTTCGCAGAAAAAGTATTAAAAAAGAGATAAAAGTATATAATATTTAGGGATAAAAATAATGTTTAAGGCCATCAACGTTTACTACAAATAAAATATGTAAATATGAAAAGACAAATATTAAAAAATACGATATAAACACAACTAACGCAATAGGAATACTTTTCCATTGTGTAAATAACACTTTGGAAAAATATCTAGTAAAAGAAAACTGGTGCAAGGAAGAAATGTCAAAACTGGAAATTTTGGAGCTTTCCCGAACTTCAGGTAGGAAAGTTGAAAAATAACATATAACAAGGCGAGTAAATTTCAAAGTTGGCTTTTGTCCAAAGGTTTTTGGCTCTAGCCATACGCAACTCTGATATCTACCGCTGAAACTCAAACCTTGAACTACACACGCGAAAACACAGGTGTTCTAAAAATTTATACATACATAAGTAGCAAAAACACTCGTGTATTTTATTTTTTCGAATTCATCAGTACTAATCTGTTCAGTGAATAACCTTCACGTGCATCTTGGTCAAGTAAATAGATATGGCAGCTACATTTGCCTTGACTGATCTTAATTTTTTAAATGTCCTTTCTATGCATATGGTGAGTCAAGGTTTATTTCAATATTTAGCACGCTACACTATTTATCTGTAATTCGTATCTGTATTTCGACCAATATTTGTTTTATTAATGAATGTAACTACGTTACAAATAAGTAGGTGAGATATATTAAGGACAAGTTCGAAGCAGACATTACTCTAAATATATACATTCGATCTAATTGATTGTTTTCACCAGATGGTAAAGAAACGTTCTCAACATTTTAGTGTGCGTGTAAATGCGTTACAAAGACTTTTCTGTTTTCACAGGCGAGTGCAAAATAAACCACGTACATGGCAATGAAACACTAAAGCTGTCTGTAAGAAAACAAAATGTATCAAGCAAGCATCAGTTAAAATCATAGAACACATCTTATATGACGCAATACAGAACAAGTTAAGTATATGAGATGATGATGGAAGAACATTGTGGGCATCAACCTGATCAGATGTAGAAGCTCATGGCTGAAAGATTACGGCTCATGACGTGGTTAAGACTTGCTCTCAACAAATCATGTATGCACACAACTGTTTGACAGGCCTCAATAATATAATTACCGACCGATATTTTTTCATTGCATAACTTACTCATGTGCAATATTTACTGAAAAATATTGTTCGGTAATTGTAGCCTGCATAAGAGGCCTAATTTGTGCGTTAGCACACTAGCGCAACAATCTAATTGATTCATAAACGTACTGCGACATCAAGAGACTGCATTGCGTTTAACATTGAGCTCACTGCTGCGGGCACTGCCGCCTTCCCCCAAATAAAACACACAAATAATACACCCTTAATAAAGCGGACTAATAGTAACTTGATCACATCATAATACAAAGTAAATCAGTTACTCATATTGAAGAAATAGGGCTCAAAGGAGATGTCTCATATTACACTAAATATTTTTCTATGAAAATCATTGCATCGTAACGATAAGTACGTGGTCCAAATAGTACACCTAAATGATGCGCATAAGCAAGAACTACCAGCACAAACCTAACATTGAAACAAAACAAAAAATAAACAATATTATATTAACCAGACAATTAAGCTAAATGAGATATCTCCTTTCTAGTTTGTAGACCCTTGGATACATATTATAAATAGAGGGTTTCATAGTGAAGTGGGTCCAAACCAGAAGTTAGATCCAAAACTACTAGAAATTAAAATAGTCTAGAAAATTATTAGACACATAAATAAATAGATATAAAGGTACAATACATTGAAAACACTCACCTTTTCTCCACTGGAGTAAAAGAAATATTTCAATTTGACAATATTACAATGCTCCAGTCGTCGCATGATTTGAAGTTCTCGGTTCTGTAATGTAAGACGTTATTAGTAAATTAACAATGTCCTACTAATATATTAATAACTTAGAGGCGTAACATGCCGAGCACGCCAGCTATGCATGCATATTAACAAGTGTTTTTACACAATTGAACTAGTTTTGAATAGTATATACTCTACGATGTAATCAATGAGATGTTTTATTATAATTGAAATGGAAATAGCTAAAGTATTTCCTTTCATTGATTAATAGAATGAGTGAATAAATATAGATGGTAAAGGTAATTGCACTAGACTTACCTTAAACCTCTTATCCTGGAGCACCTTTTTGATGGCAATAAGCTCGCCGGTGTCGCATAGTTTGGCTTGATAGACGACGCCGAAGCTGCCGTTTCCGATGAGTTTCATGTCAGCATAGCTCACCTCCTGTGGCCGGTCGGGGCCTTGCCCCGGCGTCGCCACCACAGTCGTCACCTTTGAGCCGTCCTTGCCTGAAAAATGATTGAATTCCATTTTAAATACTTCACGTGGACATAAAGAATTAGAGTAAAGGATGTTTTCCATCATATGTAACAAATAATTATTTTAACCAAAATAATTCCAGTTCGATAAATTAAATCGTGCTAACTAATCCCATAGAAAAACAGAATCTAAAAGAAATTCTAGCACTATTTGAATGGCCTCTCTAATGCAATTGAGTGGTGCGGTGACGTAAACGAATCCATTTCACAGACGGTAATAAATAGGTGGCGTGAGCGTTGCTGGACGAATCATTGTAATTTACTTCGTAACAAAGTATCCAAACACCAGTAATTTCTATATACGAGTTAAAAGACTTTCAAAAGAAGCAATTCTAGGCCATTTGTAAGAGATTTCACTAGATGAGTAAGAAAAACTAACCTTTCGGGTTTATGTTATTATTTAGAGTATAAGTATTATTACGTTTACCATGATCCATCAGTTTTTATTTTTTTTTACGAGTTTTTAATGAATTACAATTTATCTAAAAATAAATCATTTTTATAATAAAAATCTTGGCCGTCTAGATCATTTTTGTGACAAGGTTACAGACAATTAAAACCGTGCAAGTTGTTCTTGTGTAATTAATTGTCACTCCACGCAGTCTTAAACTGTCAAATACCAAGCGGTCACCGGTGACCGCAACCTATTGTTCTATAATTGTGTCTACAAAACCGGTACTCGACGAGTTAACTAAGCCCGGCCCTTCAAGACAGTGAAAACCAAAAACTATATTCTAATAAGACTTACATTTTTGAAGTAAAAATAAATCTGGAACTAAAGATTTAGTTACGGCCATATTCTAAAACAATATAAAAAAATGTAATATGTTTTTTTTTTCTGTAATAGAAAACAGCTGATCTACGTCGAGAATTTGTCACGGAACAAAATGATGTTCTTGTTTGCGAATAAGCACAATTTATCACAAGGTTGAAAAAACTTTTACGAGAAGAAAAGAGCAGGTGCGGCATGCGACACGGGGTTAGACGCATGGCACATTTGTTTACGCTTGGGTAACTCACTTCAGAGTACCACGACTACAACCAGAGAGCGAAATATAGATTTTGGACACAAAGGAGCCGGACGAATTGAATGCGCACGTTAGCGGAAATCATTTGACGTGGCTCCTATTTAATAGTGGTAATAGCCGCGTAGATTTGGTATCCTATGTGCGGTTATACATATTACTGGTAGTTATAAATTGATGACAAACATAAGTTTGTCAAAACAAACATAAGTAGCAATAATGCTACAGATATAAAAAATAAGAAATTAGTAACGGAACCCTAATTAGAAGATTGGTGATAGGTATATGTGCAATAAAAAAATAAATAGATCAGTAAATACTAAATACATAATAGGTATCTAACGCCTTTCTGTGAATTGGTTTCGAACCCTTCGCTTCCCAAAAGATCTAGGACCAATTCCAGTTTTATGATAAGATCGTAAGTTTTTATACCTTGATGTTGATGGTTAAAGAATTGTTAAAGAGCAAACCTGAGTGGGCAGACGTCCAAACGACGATTAGCGATTGTTGCTTGTTAATTTTATAGGTTTTAACAAGCATTTAACGTATTGGCATGCGTTAAATGCCTTAAGCCTTCACTTTGAAGTATACGATAGGAGTTAGTATAGTAGCGATGATGAAAATGTAGATAATATCGTGAATGATAAAATACTAAAATGACATTATCGATATCCTCTACACAATATCACAAGTACACATAAGTATTTCACTATACCAATTACCAACGGAAGTAAAATTGACAATGTTAATAATGATTGTAAGTATTTATAAGCATAGCAATAATACGTAGGTTTTATATTAAGTCAATATCAAATTAGTAATCAAGGGCTGACTGTTTTTGAATTCTGACTCGCAAATTACACTGCCTTCAACATTGCCCCACCTGTCCATCGCTCTGTGCAAATACACCTGTACTTTTTTACTTTTGAGCAAGGCCACCACTCCCTATGCATTTGGTACTGCCAAGGACATAGGTAACTTACCTTTCAGACTTATGGAATGCATAAAGTTAAAACACTAACTGTTAAATTATTATCAAAGCATCAATTAAGGTCAAATACAATGACGTAACGACACGGTTCATTATTTAAACAAGCCAAGTCACCAGTTAATAATCTGCAGTCTTACTAACCAATGTTCGTTATTAGGTAGTTACTTTGGACTACCTCATTGCAGCTGTTTATCTTAACATGTAGGTATCATGTATCCATAACATCCGAATGTCTACGTGGGAATTACTATTACTAAGGAGTTTACAACGTCTATTCCATAAAATATACTGGCAACGTACGTTGTTTTCAAAACGTTAGCTACTTCGTCATTTAATTAGTAACAGCTAATTAAAATATCGTTACCGAGTACTCGGTTGAGTTCTCCTGTACTGGAACGTATTGTTAACATTTCTGAAAATATTATTACAATTCTGCAAAATGTACGTAACGAAACATAGGGCTCCCGCTGTGTTATAATCATTATAAACCTTACATTAGATGAATGATTAATTATGGGAGATTCAATAAGTCTAATAAAAGCTTAAGACCCGAAAATGAATTTCTAATCACCGGTTATTTGTATAAAGTAGGAAAAAACTATTTCCTATTTCAGTTCAGGCAGCTAAAATCGATAAGTTGCAAAAATTCAGATTTACGTTTGTACTGACCTCGATAGTCTCTGCAGTCTACGACATGTTTGGCAAATATTTAACGGTGACCTATCCCGTTTCTGTTGACATGCCTTACCTTAATAAGGCAGACTGGTCGCTTAGGACAACATCATTTGTAATAAGTGAAGTGTAGTGGTGAACTGCTACAATATTATCTTGAAAATTATTTTAACAATCTGTGTGTTCTAATATGTGTCATTAACTGAAAATTTTAATAGTTACCGATTAAAAAGCAGATACGCAAACGCTTTTGTAGAATAAACATCATTGACGTCCACTACTTATACGGTGATCGATACTTAATACGTAAGCCACTCTTCCACGGACGACTGCAGTGATTAAAAGTTTCTAAGGTAACTATTCAATTCTCAAATGACCGGCTTTTAACATATAGGCAACTCGTGTGTACGTCACTGCACGAATGCAACGAGTACATATATGAGCATTAACAGTAATATACAATCTAGCAAATGGAGTGTATATCAATCATGCCCACCTTGAAAGAACTCGGGACATATGCTGCCCTGCCACACCCTTAGCAACCCTCATTGACGTAAACCCAAGCGCACTCCACCCTTGTTTATCTTTATCGGCTTTTTATCTAACTACTTTTATTTCTATAATTATGTATGTATTTGAAGGTTCGTAATATATTCCTAGTTTCATTTGATAAAACATAGAATTGTATTTTAAATTCATACGTTTTACTCCTATTTTTATCGTTACTCCAGTCACATCTGGTTAAAACCACAAATTACCTTTAACACTTTCAACAAAGCATTTTCACACTTTTAAGATTCATATTTTAATATATGTATTGCAATGGTACATAACGCGTAGCGTGCTAGTGTGAATTTATTTAGAACACGAGCATAAATATATTAGAAAGTAAAGACGAAGGTTCGTTAAGCGCAGTTTGCAAGTGCAGACGTTCACGTGTCCACAAATAGGAAGCAAAGCAATACGGAAAACAATTTACTTATTCCGCAACAAACTAAATAACAGTCTCACAAAAGATTTTTTTGAAGACTTCACTTAATTTTTTTGCTCTATCGCTACAATTCAAACCAATTTCAATTGAAACTACTTTATTTAAACCTTGGATTCTCGTGATAATATTGTATCTATTTCGAACTGAAGTAAATGCCAGCGCCCAAACGCGTACTCTATCAATCTCGGCCATGTAGTAGTTCTATTCTCCCATTCCCACATTAGCGCCATATACGGCGTCATTTTTCTATTACAAAATAGTAACTTGCATGCTTAGAATATTTCTAACCATAAAAACAATTTTAAAAGGAAATAATACGATAGGTATGAAATATAGGAAAATTATTAATATCTACAAACATCGACTATCCATGTATAAAAAAATCTGGAAGATGAATGTGCATTAATTAATTTGCTACGTGTCATATAAAAATTACACTAAAAACCACATTGAGTGTTGAACACGTTACGTGGCAGATACGATAAAAAATATTGATATGACATAATACAGTAAAATTACACAATATAATATACCGTACTATTAGAACAATTAGGCATCTTTCTTTTTGCAACTTATAAGTAAACCTTTAACTTTATTACCCTGTAACTATTTAGTTAAAAAGGAAGCAGTTGTAAACTAGAAATAACATAAATTGTTGAATTATTTCTTTGGATAGTATCTCAACTTGTACATCACACAGTGTTCAATTCGATCGTGTCAAATTAAGAATATCGAAGAACCTATTAAAGTAGGACGCAGGGGCAGGTCGTAGTAACCATTTCAATGTGTCTGACAGTCATAACAAATATTATAAACCATATAACCAATATTTTTGAACGTAGGAATAATAAAAATACATCGTACTTTACTGTACCTATATAAAAGTTAAAACCATTTATGATCATGTTAGTAAATGATTCACGGTATAATAGCACCTGCAGATTAGCGTGCTATGTATAAATTGAATTAATCATAATAATGAATGATGAGGTAGTCTGATATAGAATAGGCCCTTACCGCAAGAATGGATATGTTATTGTTTAACACGATAGTATGATGTTATCGGTTTAATATTACCCCGAGAATAAAACTTGAAGTGAGAATGAATATTCAATCGTACGACAAACACACGCATATTATAAATAAATATCACAAAAAATATATTAATAGAATAAAGCCTATTTAAGTAATTGCAATTAGAAAAAGACGTACACCCACATGATCTAAAACATCACAACATCAACAATCAGGACAGACAAAACGAACACAGACAAGAAATGATAACATGTAAATGATAAGTTTAGTCACATTGCGATTATTCTCCATTCCATCATTTCATCGGACGAATAATATTGGTGTATAGGAAAGAATGGAGGATACTCGCTAGTCCAAATTAAACAGTATAGTGGTGGTGACAATCTAAACATAACCATCACTACAGCCGAGCTAATGTGCGCGAAATCTAACACTTACGATGCGAAGACGCTGTTTTCTTTTCCGAAGCCAGCTCGTTCTTTTTAGGAGTATCCACGTCGCCTGCGCGTCGCAGCAAAACACAAAAGCAGCATTAGAACATTGGTGATGAACATACAAATACATGATGCAACGATAACATAATTACATTGCCACGAATTTATTTTACATAGTGCAAATACTAAGTGAGATGAATACAAACGAGAATAACGTAACATCGGTAAGGTAACAAATTCACAACGACAGACGAGAATATTTGCTCTCAAGACACTCACTGATGGTACGTCGAAGTTTTTTACAGAAAGATGAGAGACGATCACGGGCACGGCTTAATTGACCACTTTTTTCCGTATCAAGTAACCGAAGTAGCGAAGGTTCGGATCGGGCGGCCACTTCTCCTACGGGGCGAAGAGCCACCGTAGCGGGACCTTCGGAAACTCCTAAGTTGTCGAAGCATACCGGCCCTGCGGAACACTCCAGTTTGGCAGAGGATCGCACGCGAGCGCGCGTTGTGGTAGACTGCCGGCCGTAGGCGCGGGGACTAAAACCGCCGCCCCGCCCCGTAGAGGTCGAGCCTCGATACTACAGAATTGTGGTGCTAATTCAATCTTCGCGACTAAATACTCTCCAACCACTTCCAACTGTCGTCGTCATAAATGTCATGAACATCAAAAATTAAGAAAAATACAAATGACTTTGATCTTTGTAGTCAAAGGTAAATTATCAGTAATAGTTCTCATGATTGTTAACCCCAAATCAACAATTCCCGGTGTATTTTGGAAACTAAACTTAAAAAAGTTGTTAAGGAACAAAACATTCATAACTTACATTAACTGCATGATTTAATCAATTTACGTGCTAAACATTTAACATGCAGATTTTTCATTACAGCTTTGAGGTTCAATGTTTATCTTTTGACTCGATCTGCATTATCAATTATTTCACGTGAATAAAAATCATGAAAATTATTTAAATAACCCAAACACGCAGTTATTGTTGTCGCATTTGAACTCTATCAGTATCACATCGCATGCGCGCGTGTCTACCTTTTTATGGAGCCGGTGATAATTTTGATGTGACGTCACACACTCCGAACTCTAAATAATTCTCAACTTTAAATGGCCGTGTACACAAAATAACAACGACAAACTGGTGCACTCCATGGCTAAGTTCCCTATGCAAACACAATAAATTAAACGTCAAAGTACGTCACTGCATCGCACGATTCACTCAATTCTTACACCTTGTTGATGATATACATTATGTTGTACAATGCAGGCTTATAGATGAATAGAACAAGGAGATATTTGTTTAAAGTTTTCCATATTTATATTATAAGGTTGTTGGTTCCTACTACCTATTTATGCATCCGATATTGTTAGCCGTATTTCAGTGTTTTGTTTATTAAATAAGGAAATGGTACCTGTCTGTCTACCGCATGTATGGTAATTCTCAATAACCCATATCCATGAATTGGGTAAAAGGTGCTCTCTAAAACACATATTTCAAAGGTTGCTTCTTTGTCAGTCCTAGCAGCGCACGTTTAAAATGGTGACACTCCTGAAATGTTTAGAGAGCATAGGAGCAGATTCAATGTTGATATACGTGACCTAGAGCTGGGAAGATCGGCTGGAGACAGTAAGAGCGATGTCTCGAGTCGGGATTAAGGAATTTAATATTATCCCAAACTTTGTCGTAGGTAATATTTGTGTAATAATAAAGAAAACGTTATAATTAATAAGGTTTTTTATTATTACACAAAATGTAACTATACATGTAACTGGTATGACCATTTAGTATAAAGAAATTAAACATTGCGGACAAATATTGATTCGTTGTTAATAGAAGTAATTACTAATACAGCCAATAGGCAAGTATATAAATACGCTAATAGAATTATGGTTGTCATGGACTCGCGGCAATTGGATTAGAACTTTTGGCGGAGTTTGTTGGGTTCTCCGCACGTGAAGGGCCTCGGGACTACGCACTTATCATCAGATAGGATTCCACTTGCATGCAACAAATTGATTTTATGACATTAGTTTATAGGTTACAATATCTGCACCGCTTTTTTTTTTTAAGGGGGGAAAATCATCGAATGACTGCCCCCGCCTGGGTGAGGCGGGAGGGAGTGTCAGACTCTTACTGACTAAAAACCACCCCGTTCCTTCTCCTGCACGTCGAGCCGGAGCCCCGGTT